CCCACTTTTTTTCCTCGACCTAACTTATACTATAGGAAATGTTAATTGAAGGGTTTTTTTGTTTTTGTTTTTTTTTTTTTTTTTTGCTTGTCAACTTTTTCAGGTAATTAAAAAGAATTCTCTGACTGGCCACCACTTTTAAATACGATGCTACGTGCCTGCTTTTTGATTCGACACATATTTTGGGTTTAGCGACAACAGCAAAATATGGACTGCCATTACATGTATAACCACATGGGAGGCGGGGTATCCTTTAGTGAGCTCATTGCTCACAATACCTCTAGTTTCTCTTTCAATTTGGGCGTTTGGGTTAATTTCTTGTCCAAATTAAAATTATTATTCAATTTACGAAGTTTCGACATCCCGTCTGAGAAAAATCCTTGATCAGTTCTAAGGCTTAATAAATGGTACAGCATTTTATTTTTTTATACCTATTATTGCCCTAACGGATGGGAGAGGGAGAAAGAGAGAGTTCAATATACAAAAGAGTTAATAAAAATTATCCGTATTCAACCAGTGTCAAGTATCCCTACTCTAGCTCTTAAAATTATCTCTCAAATACTCCTAAAGAAATTATTCTTATACAAAAAAAATAGCTAGACTATCAGGCAGGGATACTGAAATCTCGAAAGTCTCTCTGTAACATCATAAAACAGTTACATTCCTCAAAATGCACTTACTTTGCGGTCGAAGTGACACATTTTAAAAAAAAATCTCAAAATTGAATTCGGCAGAAATGTCTGTCTTCCAAAAATATTTAAATAACGGTCATGTCAATTATTTTTGCATGCCCCCCCCCCCGCACCTAAAAAAATCAAATGCCTAAAATTGAATCTGAACAGGGGATGGCCTTTCTCCGTGTTTGTGTGTGTGTTAATGAACGTATAGATGTACACATAAAAATTTGTATTCTGGTGAATTGCTTTTAAGATTTGAAGTAAATAATTACCGTACCTCAAATTACTTGGTTTAGATTTGAGATTAGTACTAAAATAATCAGTTATAATTGACAAATGAATTTTGCGACGCAAACCAACTGCAGACTATATACATGACTTTGTATAGAATGTATATTAAAAGTACATGTAGATAGGAAATTCACAATTATAGCTTATGAACAGCAGTTATAATACTTTAACCCCCCCCCCCCTTTTCAGCAGCGCAAATCCCAAATAAGTTCTCTTTCCACTTGTGATATTTTCCCTGATCAAAATGTGATCAGCACGGACTAAGTGTATCGACGTGCTAGTCTGTACGGAGTAATGACAGTGTGTTTACTATTGAGCTTTTATGGAGTTTATTTCTTTTTTGTGATGCATATTTCAATAAATGGGATTCAGGGTGTATATCACTTGACTTGTGCACATCTTTGAACCGATGCAGTAACCTTATTTCCAGGTATGGGTACGTTTACAGCGTTCGAGGCGTTTTCTCGATATGCACCAATTGCATCTTTAGGACCTGCAAATCAAAGACGTAGGTTGTTTTGTTCCATTCAAATGATATAATTTCAAAATGTGTTTGCAAATTTTACTGCTTTTTATTTCAAGCTTATTCTGCATAAATTGGCGCACTGTAAAATACGTACTCATGCATCTAAATTTCTCTTCCAAACTTGCATTTTTTCCTTCTGATTCAAATCAACAATTATTCAGAAATATGATTATTATGTTGTTTGTTGTGGTTTTGAAATGTCTTGATCACCTCATGTGTTCTCATATGCTTTACCATCGGAGATGTGCACAAGTCGATACCCAAGCCACAAAATCATTCAAGTGTAACGACCGCATTGGGGTATATATCGTTACAATGAGACAATGTATCTGAAAGAAATATGGCGGAATACGGCTATAGTTGGTATGAAACAAGTCGTACATAGATGAAAATGTTGCGTTTTTAAGAATTCATGTCAGCTTTAAGCGTAAACTTATTAAATAAACGGTAGATTAAAGACTCAAAATTTAAAATACAAAATTTGTTTTTGGAAATTTGAATTTTGAATGTTTAAGGTAAAAATCTAAAAACCTAAAATTCTAAAACCTGTTTGGAAATTTGAAAATTTAGGTTTTGAACTAATATACTGTATTAACATTCTAAAACTCAAAATCATTTTAGAAATTTGAATTGTTAAGTGTTACACGGACCACTTTGAATTGATCTTATGAATGAGAAGAGATAGGGCTTTCATACTGAAGATGTATATTACCTGTGACAAGTCCTTTTTTAAATTCACTATGTTGACCTCATGACCTTGACCTTGAAGTTACTTCTTTTCAAAAAGAAGTAGTTTCTACTTTTCAAAAACTTTAACCTTTGTCATATCTTTTGAATGAGGCAATGAGAGATAGGGCTTTCATATTACACATGTGCATTATCTGTGGCAAGACCTTTTTAAATACACAAATGATTTGGGATGCTGCAACCTTGACCGTAAAGTTTGATCTACTTTTCAAAAATATTAATTTTTCTTTATAACGTTTGATTGAGAAGAGATAGGAATTTCATAACTGACATATGCATTTTGTTACCCTTGACAAGATATTTCCGAGCAATACATAATTTCTGATCCCTTGACTCTGACCTTTTGATTGACCTAATTTAAAAAAAAAAACAATTTGGCGATAACTGCTAAATGACATAGAATAGGGCATTCATATTTGATACAATATTTCATTTTAAAAAATGACATTTTACCCAAAAAGACACCGGAAGCGGGGACCCCAATTCTTTGAATTTGCTTGTGTTATCATATTGTGTCAAATATGAACGTCCTATCATATGTCATTCAGAAGTTATCACCAAAATTGATTTTTTTTAAATGAGGTCAATTGAAAAGGTCATGGTCAATGGGTCAGAAATCATATCTTGTCACAGATAATGCACATGTCAAACAAATATGAAAATCTTATCTCTTCTCAATCAAAATTATTTGAAAGAAAAGGAAAAATGGGCCACATTTCAAGATCGCGAGATTAAAAAAATCAAAATGTATTTACTTAGAAAGGTTTGCTATGAAAGCCCTATCTCTTCTTATTCTTAAGTCATGTCATTGACCAAGGTTAAAGTATTTGAAAAATAGGTCGAACTCCAAGGTCAAGGTCACGAGGTCAAAAATCATGCGTATCTAGAAAGACCTTTTCGCAGGTAATAATGTTTATCACAGGCACCTGACGTTACTTATGTTTCTTTAAAAAAAACAGATACATACACATACCTATTAGGTATATGTATGTATTTTTTTTAAAAAGAAAAATAAGTAACGTCAGATATGCCTGTGATGTTTAATGTGAAAGCCCTATCTCTTGTAATTCAAAAGTTATGGCCAATTCAAAGATTTTTAATTTTTTTTTAGATGTTGGTGAGTAGTATAAGGAGCCTGGCCGGGGGGGTCAACTGAGTGCACTTTTGGGGCTGGGGTGAGATAGGGGGTTCAACGGAGTGCACTTTTGGGGGTGAGATAGGGGGTTCAAGGGAGTGCAGCCCCTGTGGGGGATAGGCAGGTCAACGGAGTGCAGCCCCTGTGGGGGATAGCCGGGTCAATTCAGTACATATGTTGCATCATCTTGATCTATTGCATCATCTTTTTGATACCTGTTGCATCATCTTTTTTAGATCTATTGCATCATCTTTATACTTGTTGCATCATCTTTTTAATACTTATTGCATCATCTTTTTTGATACCTGTTGCATCATCTTATTATACCTGTTGCATCATCTTGCAAAAATAGGTTGGACTTATCTTTCTGTAAACTATCTAGTCAGCGAGCTTACCTATGCATTGTGACGTCATAAACTTGGCAGCGACGTCATGTTAGTCCTTCACAAGCCGCGATGGCTGCTTATTTTGACACAATAACACAGACTTTCACAGCGCTTGAGACTTCATGTAATAACAGTATGGTCCTATGGATTTCAGTACCAAAACTGATTTTCTACCGTTTTTCTTCCAAGAAAGTTCTGAACAGCTGAATCCTGGATCAGCCTAGATGTTATTTCACTGGATTATTTAATGAATATTACTCTACTGAGTTACCTGGTTACATGGTAAGTTTTAACAAACTTTTCTTTATACATTTTCTATGAAGGTCATCTTTGTATTTATTCATTATTACTGTGTTATATACCTTATGTTTAGAACATTCATATAAACACTGCCATTGTTTACCCTGAAATACACTAGGACACTAAAAGATCCTCAAAATGTTGATAAATCTTTTTTGCATGAGTTATGATCATATTGTCTCACATTCCTTTTATTGGATCAGTATTCTAAATATTCTTATGAGGAGATTCCTAGCATATCTTACAAAATACTGATACATGCTTTTAAAACAACTAAAGTGATATTCTCAGTTGTTATTTCTAATATTTCTATGAATCTTTAATCACAGTGACCAAAAGAAGGATATGGAGATAATCAATCAGATCATATTATGCCAATGAATCTTTTGTCTCAAATCTTTTTTAATGAAATATACAGAATCTTTTGCCTTATTTGTCACTCATATTTTTACATTCTGGTGCAACAGTGGCCCAATGAAAGTGGGAAAAACTCAGTCTGAGCATCTCTGTAAATCTATAAACATGTGTGCCCCCCCCCCTTTTTTTTTAAACCTTCATGTATATACATGTATGTATTTTATTTAGTCAGTGATTTCAAACATCAACATGTAAAATATATATTGAGTACTTTAAAAGTGAATATGCATTATTTGTACACCCTGAATATTCTGACATACTAATGGTGACATCAGTTAAAAGAGTAATTAGTTATGTAAAATTCAGTTTATATGAATGTAAATGGGGTATTTATTCTCAGTTCATGTAAGGTATAATTTGCATGTAATCCAGAGTGTATTTAATATTACTATGATGGGTCTTTCCATGATTGAATTTAAATCAGAAAAAATGTTTACTAAATTTTGGTAAAATACATATGGTATCTTTTACATTTCTGTCCTGTTTGTCTGTCAATTGTTGCTTTACTTCCTTTGTAAAATGAGGTTAATTTGTGTATCACTGAATATTGTATGCTTTTTTTCAGGATCAGCTAAGATGTTATTTCACTGGATTATTTAATTGGGCATATAATTGGATAATTCTGGTAAGTTTGTCTTTGTTTTGTTTACATTTCCTATGAAGGTCATCTTTGCATTTAACCATGATTATATGGTTTAATTTAATTACTGTGTAATTCTTATGTGATCTAATATCTCTAACATTCATATAAGCACAGTCTTATTTTGTCTAAAATATACTAAGGAAACTTCATATTGTTAATAAGTCCTTTTGCATAAATTATGATATAATGTCTAATTCATTATGTCTGTTACCCATGGAATTCAGACTTACTAAATTGTGATCTATAAGGAATGTAATAAAAGAAAAAGTAAGAATCTACAAAAGGTTTATCCTTGTTTTGATTCTAAATATGTGGTATATATGGCATACATATATTTTCATTTTCACTTTTGTTTCTTGGTAATGAGCTTTTCAAAAAATGTAGGACTACATGTTGTATATGCTAATATCTTTTTGTATGCTGTACTGACAGGTATTAAACAAAATTGAATATGCTGTTAAGAGAAAGTCTGTTAGTGTCTAAAAATTACACTGATAATCATTTTGTATTTGTGATATTAATACAGTAACTGTGCTTCTTTTGTTATCTAAAGATAACATGATGAACTATTTTCATGAACTTTTTGGCACTGTATTTAAACATGCAATGTTTCATGCAGTTCCTTGTCATATTAACAAAATGATTATATTTTCTACAGTCCTCAACCTGGAAGATATGTTTTATTCCTAACCATCTATAATCCATTCTCTATGAAGTTCAGCCTGTCTGCCCAAATTCCTTTGGAAATACATAGTTAGTCAACCAACATAGAAACAATCAAACTTGAAGGTAAAGTTTCAATGAGATATCATTTTCATTTATTTAATTCTGTTTTATTTAAATGTTTATATTTTAAAATGGATAAAAAAAATGGATAAAAAACATCTGATAATGGAAATCAATATCATAAAAGATAGTAAGTTTTTTAGTGTCTAAATAATTAATCTGATAATCATTTTATTTATGATATTAATACAGTAGTTGTGCTTGTTTATTATCTATAGATAACATGATGAACTTTTCTCATCTGGAGTTAATGTTAAAAACAATTTTTTTGAGATTAAAAACAAATATTTTCATGATCTTTTTTGGCATTGTACATGTTGTATTTAAACATGCATTGTTTCATGCAGTACTCTGTCATATTAACAAAATGGTTTTATTTCTACAGTCATCAACATGGAAGATATGTTTTGTTCCTAACCATCTATAATCCATTCTCTATGAAGTTCAGCCTGTCTGCTCTTCCTTTGGAAATACACAGTTAGTCAATCAACATAGAAACACACAAACTTGAAGGTAAAGTTTCAATGAGATACAATTGTAATTTTTATTTATTTATTTATTTATTTATTTACATATGCATTTTTATATTTTTTGAATTGATAAGTAAATGATATGATTTTTTTAAAATAAAGAGGGCTTGGTGGTCATGGTCATGTTTAAACTCTATTGATATCCTTTAGAAGAAGAAGAAAAGGCATAAAAATTCATGATCAAATTTTTAAAACTAAAATGTATGAAATTTTTCTTTGCCAAATGATAGTTAACAGCTGAAGATAGCATATTTATAGAATAAGTTAAATATGGCTAATTTGTTAACCCCCAGCTTCCTTAATAGCATAATTGGTAAAGATTTCAAGTTTTCTTCCAATTGCTTATGAATTCTGAATTTTTCATTTAATATTAACATTATATTTACAGAGAAAGAATACTATAATGTGGCTCCATTAGGATCAACAGTGAAAAAAAATCTTAATGACCCTCTTGACTATGTCTAAAGATTGTAACCTTTATAGCTGATGTAAGATGATCTGATTGCATGGCATTAAAATTTCCTGGTGTTTCTACCATCCAGGATCTTCTTATGAGTGCATGGGGACTGCTGTGGACCTTAACCTGTTTATAAAAATATACCTTGGAGCATGACACTTTATTCATAAAAGGTACTTTCAATATCATTTCTATGAGTTTGTGTTCTTTCTTTTTAATAATCTAGTGTTATATCTCCTTTAACCTCATTAATATGTATGCTTCCAACATCTTAATCTGTCTGTATAGTTTCTTCAGCTCTTTGAACACAAATACCCTGATTCAATCTTTTGAGGTAAACATCATCATCATAGATGATTATCAGAGTGTATATATCACAATCTTGACCATAAGGTCAATTTAAATGGTCAAAGGCACAACAAATGAAAGTGAAAACTTTTCTTTTTTTTTTTTATCAGAATACATAATTTTGTAATAAACAAACACTGGAAATGTTTATTAATCTCTTTGAGTTCAGTTTGGACTTCCTCCATTAATCCTTGTATCTTGTAATCCTTGTATCTCCAATGGTTTTGTGGGCTAAAAATCATGTGTCTTTAACAATTTTTTTTTTCCGACAACTGTTTTCTCTTATCATCTATAAACTTGACTTCTTCTCTAGTCAAAGGTCTTTCAGGGTAATCCAAGTAATTCTCAACATGGTAATAAATGGTTATATTCTTCATTGGCTTCTTCTGCAATCAAGGGTCTTTCTATGTAATCTCTGACAACAATCACCCTTTTCTGGACATAATTGGTTATATTCAGAGAAATGTCAATATCATCTTTTTTTTATTTTAACAATCCTCTGTCTTATCTTTCTCTTAATCCTTCTATCTAATGTCATAGCTTGTTATGGTTAAGAAAAGTCAAAATCTTATGTTAAACTTGTATTTTTTTTTCTAAAAAACAAAATTTTTTTTTGTAGTTACAACAAACAATTTCTAGTGACTATGGAAATGATCTAATGTTTCTAAAACTCTTAGAATGGTGAAAGACTATCAGATTATGCAAAGACTAACAGAATATCCTCTCTTGAACACTGAAACAAGAAAACCAAACTTAAGAAAGGATTTTTAAATATAATAATCAATTAGAATTTAACCAGTAATTTAGACTGTGGTTCAGGATGACAAAGAAAGGACCCTCTTTTTGTCAGACAAATGGCATAAAGTTAATTTATCAAACTCCAGATCTAGTCAAAAGTATTGAAAATATGATTTTCTGATAGCATGAGCTCTTTAAAAACTAATTCTCACGGACCTCAAAGTATCTGAATGTGACTTTTATTTTTACCAATTCATTTTGAAGACTGTTGTTATGTATGGGAATTACACATTTAAACCTTTTATTTTTCATCTAATTTTTACAACCCCCTAGAAATTACACAGATATCCAGATGCTGGATTTAATGTTATTATCTTTTTAATGGAATTGTAAATATATTTTGTTTGTGTATATATCATGTTTAATTTTGAATTTGTAATAATCTTAACTTTAAACATCACAAGGCCTATAATGTCTTCTAATTGTTGGGGATCAATTAGCTATATATCTTGCTAAAAATAGAATTTTGAATTTAAAATTTGAATAATGTCATCTCATGAAGAATAAATTGTTTTTTATTTTAATCTTTCTAATTACTATAGAACATCTTTCTTGGTGTCAAAGCATAAGATTATTGAGATGTAATTTTAACTCAAACTTCACATCTTTCTCTGACCAAATCTGAATTTTACTCATTCCTTTACTCTTTTCTTTTACTAAAGCTGTTACTACCCATAGTTTTGAAAAGTCAAAATCTGATGTTACACCTTGTTTTTATATCCCTTTTTGTCTATGTTTAAAATTCTATTAAGCTTATATTGCATATCAATTTTTCAACTAATAATTTTTTTTCCTTTCAAGGATTCTCAATGGGGAACTCAGTAAATTATGCACAGACTAACAGAATATACTCTCTTGGAACACTGATACAAGAATATAAAACCAGAGATGGATGGAGGACTCAAGAAGCACATGAATAAATATGATTCCAAACTAAGTCAATCATGATGATCATGAATTGTGGTTCACAGGATAAGAGAGAAAGGACCCAGGATTGTGCATTTTTCTAGATCCTCTCCCATTCATATCCTTCATATGCTGGCATACAAAACAATAGATAAATTGTAGTCATTTAACAGACTGAAGTTTAATCAAATCAAAGTATTGAAAATGTGTTTTTCTGATAGTATGAGATCTTCAAAAAAATAATTCTCACAGATTTCAAAGTATCTAAATATAACTTTTAATTTATGTAGTACAAATTGAATACAGTTGTTATGTATGACTTTTATACATTGAATCCTTAATTTTTCATCTTATATCTACAACACCCCTAGAAAATACACATATGTTCAGAAGCTAGCTTTGGTGTAATTATTACTTTCCTGGAACTGTAAATACATTTTATTTGAATGTGTGTGTCCTATTTTGAATTTAATAGGTCTCAATAAGACCCCCAATAAAGATGCAAGTGTCCCATAACCTGTGATTTAATAATATCTTGAATATTTCTATCATTCCGTAGACTTCATGCTTACTACACAGAACAGGTTAGGGTAGAACATTTTGTCAGGGTCAAAGCATGAGATTATTGAGATAACTACCTTTGACAATAATTTGTAACCTGCAAAATTCACATCATAAGTAAAGAAAGATTCGGAGATTTTCTATAGATTTTTGGATCATTTTTCTCCTGGGTCAAATTATGTTGTAATAACTTTAACATTTTGTGATAACCTAAGAGACTTTATATCAGCTTTATTGGGTGGCATATTCTTTGGAAAGAATTGAAATGTAAATCATATGCACTATGTTCAAAGATGTTTAAAGACTATTACTATGTAATACCTTAGAAGTCTGTAAAAATTTTATTTCACTGCGTAGATAAAGACTGGTTGGAATAATTTATGTTTTGAAATAAGGTTTAGGGAAAAAAGTCAAGAATGTGGATATGACTTTTATTCAAATGGTGCAGTACAGCAACTCTGGTGATTTACATACCTTCAGTCATAAATACATGTAGATAGGTATTGGGAAGACTCCTCTAGATTTTGAAATTTTTAATTCAAAAAGTATAGAATTTTTTTTTTAAGTTTGAAAGATTAAATGGCAGCATATCATTTGCTTGTGAATTAAAAAATAAATCCAAACATATACATCTTTGGATGATAATTGTAGAATTTTATCAATTCCTGGACTTCTGTCTTGATATCATCCTTTAATGTCCTTAAAATTTTAATGACTGTCTGTTAGTTTTAGTTGTATTAGTTTCTTTTCTACATGTGAAAATGACATCATCCAAAGAAGTTCTTCATCTGCATGTTATATGAAGAAGACAATTTTCATCACAGTGAAAGAGATTGTTTTGTTAAACATAATGCATTGATACACAAATATATTTTAGATTTTTAATAGCATAATTTTTAATATGGAATGAAAGAGGGTTCATATTTCTTAATATGGAATGCTAAGTACTGTTTATTTCATTTTTTTTGTGAACAAAGACATACTAGTAGAAAAAAATGTACATGATGTGTTAGAAAAGCATGTGTAAACCTGATGACTTTATAATTGCTGATTAAATCAATAATGAGTTTCATCTTTGTTACATTGTAAACATTTCTAAGTAGGGCACACATCAGAAACTCTTAAAATTCTGAGTATCAGGGTTTAACACAACAATTCCAAATGATTTTTGGACGCTTTTTATGTATCAAAAAAAAAAAAAAATAAGACAAAACAGAATGTTTGTTCACAGATGTTCCAATGGAAAACAGTCACAAAGAAATGATTTGATATGTTCTTTATGTGATTCATGTAAAATGTATTTTAAAATTGTACCCTAACATTTATCTTCTGCATAAAAACAATTTTTTTTTTGTGGAGAATTTCTCATAACTTTGAAAAAAGTAGTCTTATTGTATAATATGGTTAACTTAAAATTTTGTAGACTTAAAAGTTGTACATGATGTGTTACACATCTTACATATGTAACCATTTCATTTCAGGGCATTCAGCATATATTGTGGTTTTGTCTTAAATTTGTTTGTTCATGTAATCAATAATTTGAGAATACTCAAATTAGGTAATGCATGAGAGAATAGGCAAGAAAATCAGGTTTAAGAAATGGTTTTTACTATTTATAAGGGGTTAATCTATATATTGAATCTATAAGTACATTTAGTCTATACATTTAAGGTATTTGTGTATGAAATAAACTTGTATTTGAGCATTTTAAGACAATTGTAAACATTACTTTAACCAGTTTAAAAAATGATTAGATTCACTGTCAGCATGTTATTTCTTGTAAAATAAATGAGTAAACAAACAATTTTATTTGAGTCAGTTTTTTTAATGTAAATAAGAAGCATTGGAAGTTGGGAATATTTCACAAAGTTGATTGAGCATAATTTTCACTAGGACAGTAGGAGTATTATGATTTAAGCATTAAAGAAACCATTTCATATTTCAATATACAAACCATGTTTAGTCATGCAGTATATAGTTTACACTTGCCAAAAAGTAAATGGTATCTCTATTCAGGGTCAATCCAAAGGTCAAAAAGGAATGAAAAAAATATTTCTCTTTATGTATCAAACATGTAGGTATTATTGCAATAAATTCACTGTATTCATTTTTGTTCTCTTTCTATGTATGAATAGCTCTGATTTGGGCAATCAAAATACAAGAAGCAAATGAGTTATGTCAAATGATGAAGGTATACACTTGAAAATTACATGAACAGAGAATTTTGAGTTTCCCTCAAATATGGATGCCAAGTGATGTGAAATAAAAACAAAATGTGGATTCATCTATTAGGATTGAGACTTGTACATATTATGAATGATGGATACTATGACATTTAGAATGATATTACATTGATTCAATTATTTAAACAGTTCTTTATCCAAACAGTCAAAATGGAGGACATATATTTTTCTTTATAGGCATAAAATATACTCTTTGAAGAAAAGGAACCTTACTTGCTTTTTTGTTGAGTTGACATTCATATTTTTGTGTTTAACAGGTAGACTAATGGTTTCTGACTAGTATAGTGAGAACTTGATTTAAGAATCATCAGATTGTTCTGATATTTTGGTTAAGATAACTGCATGACAACAATGAATTTGTTCATACAAAGGGATATAAGATTTTCCAGGTTTTCTCTTTACTCAGATTAGATTGTGTCCAACTAATATATCCAACATATAAGATACTCATCCAAGTTACACAAAGGTAAATAAATGACATTATTAAGGTTTTAGTCTAAAGGTCAAAGTGACGAGGACATCTGCTAAATTTAATAGTTTGGATAATATTCATCAAACTTCATGGATAGCTTAATTAAACAAACTTCATAAATTTTGATTTTCAGGTCAAAGATCAGCACAATTTTTGCTATACCATTGTTGTCCATGAATATCTTAACACTTCTATTGATTTTTCAGGTTAAAGATCAATGTATTCCTGCTACAGTAAAAACTTCATTATAAGGATCTCATAGTGAATTTTTTTTTGTAAGGAATTGGGTATAAAATCTCCCACTCTTTCTATAATATGTCACTGAATGTGCTCCTTCATTTTAGAGAGTTTTACAAGCAAATCATATACTGACTTTCAATCCTTCAAAACACAATATGTATATTAAATCTTGAGATTCAGACTTTCAGACTTTTAGGCTTTCAGACTTCAGGCTTTCAATCTTTAAAAAACTTTCAATCTTGAGGACTGAGTATTTTAATATCTATTTTGTAAGTCTTGTCTTTTATGTCATTACGATTAATCCTTAGTAATTCAAACTTTTCATATTTGTAAAACCAAAGTGTTGAAGTACAGTGTTTGTGTAATCTTCTTAATGTTTATCAAAAAATTACTGCTTTTAATACAGTCAAATATAATTTGTGATGATCAAAATTTCCAAATTGCCTGACCTATACATATTTAAAGTTTCAGTATCATACACTCTTGAATATCCATAAATATCAATATATTGATTCAGCATTGGCTATCAACCATACACTTGTTAACCTAAGGAAGGCTCTTACCATAAGTTAAACTCATGGAATTCCTCATGCAATTTTGAAGAATCTCTGTAATAAGGGATGAGAAAGACAAAAGACATATACATTTCCAAGTAGTAATAATTTTTAAAACTATATATCCACATTAAATTGAGGAACATTTGAAGAACCCCCTTTTTTTTTTCTTTATAACTCATGAAATTTCATGTAGATAGTGGCTATGATGTGTAAATAATCTTTATGAAAAAACAAAAGGATGGTGTAAAGTTAGCCTCACCCAACACCCAAGGAAGAGGGGAAGGGGGTTGAACCCTTTTTGTCCAGGAAACCTGAATTTTAAAGGTTTAAAAAAAATCATAAAATTATATCAAATTTATAAGGTTAATATTTCTTAAGTTTTGTTTTTATTAAAAAGAAAATTTGAAAGTTAAATAAAAACAAAACTTAAGAAATATTAACCTTATAAATTTGATATAATTTTATGATTTTTTTAAACCTTTAAAATTCAGGTTTCCTGGACAAAAAGGGTTCAACCCCCTTCCCCTCTTCCTTGGGTGTTGGGTGAGGCTAACTTTACACCATCCTTTTGTTTTTTCATAAAGATTATTTACACATCATAGCCACTATCTACATGAAATTTCATGAGTTATAAAGAAAAAAAAAGGGTTCTTCAAATGTTCCTCAATTTAATGTGGATATATAGTTTTAAAAATTATTACTACTTGGAAATGTATATGTCTTTTGTCTTTATCATCCCTTATTACAGAGATTCTTCAAAATTGCATGAGGAATTCCATGAGTTTAACTTATGGTAAGAGCCTTCCTTAGGTTAACAAGTGTATGGTTGATAGCCAATGCTGAATCAATATATTGATATTTATGGATATTCAAGAGTGTATGATACTGAAACTTTAAATATGTATAGGTCAGGCAATTTGGAAATTTTGATCATCACAAATTATATTTGACTGTATTAAAAGCAGTAATTTTTTGATAAACATTAAGAAGATTACACAAACACTGTACTTCAACACTTTGGTTTTACAAATATGAAAAGTTTGAATTACTAAGGATTAATCGTAATGACATAAAAGACAAGACTTACAAAATAGATATTAAAATACTCAGTCCTCAAGATTGAAAGTTTTTTAAAGATTGAAAGCCTGAAGTCTGAAAGCCTAAAAGTTGAAAGTCTGAATCTCAAGATTTAATATACATATTGTGTTTTGAAGGATTGAAAGTCAGTATATGATTTGCTTGTAAAACTCTCTAAAATGAAGGAGCACATTCAGTGACATATTATAGAAAGAGTGGGAGATTTTATACCCAATTCCTTACAAAAAAAAATTCACTATGAGATCCTTATAATGAAGTTTTTACTGTAGCAGGAATACATTGATCTTTAACCTGAAAAATCAATAGAAGTGTTAAGATATTCATGGACAACAATGGTATAGCAAAAATTGTGCTGATCTTTGACCTGAAAATCAAAATTTATGAAGTTTGTTTAATTAAGCTATCCATGAAGTTTGATGAATATTATCCAAACTATTAAATTTAGCAGATGTCCTCGTCACTTTGACCTTTAGACTAAAACCTTAATAATGTCATTTATTTACCTTTGTGTAACTTGGATGAGTATCTTATATGTTGGATATATTAGTTGGACACAATCTAATCTGAGTAAAGAGAAACCTGGAAAATCTTATATCCCTTTGTATGAACAAATTCATTGTTGTCATGCAGTTATCTTAACCAAAATATCAGAACAATCTGATGATTCTTAAATCAAGTTCTCACTATACTAGTCAGAAACCATTAGTCTACCTGTTAAACACAAAAATATGAATGTCAACTCAACAAAAAAGCAAGTAAGGTTCCTTTTCTTCAAAGAGTATATTTTATGCCTATAAAGAAAAATATATGTCCTCCATTTTGACTGTTTGGATAAAGAACTGTTTAAATAATTGAATCAATGTAATATCATTCTAAATGTCATAGTATCCATCATTCATAATATGTACAAGTCTCAATCCTAATAGATGAATCCACATTTTGTTTTTATTTCACATCACTTGGCGGCCATATTTGAGGGAAACTCAAAATTCTCTGTTCATGTAATTTTCAAGTGTATACCTTCATCATTTGACATAACTCATTTGCTTCTTGTATTTTTTGATTGCCCAAATCAGAGCTATTCATACATAGAAAGAGAACAAAAATGAATACAGTGAATTTATTGCAATAATACCTACATGTTTGATACATAAAGAGAAATATTTTTTTTTCTCATTCCTTTTTGACCTTTGGATTGACCCTGAATAGAGATACCATTTACTTTTTGGCAAGTGTAAACTATATACTGCATGACTAAACATGGTTTGTATATTGAAATATGAAATGGTTTCTTTAATGCTTAAATCATAATACTCCTACTGTCCTAGTGAAAATTATGCTCAATCAACTTTGTGAAATATTCCCAACTTCCAATGCTTCTTAATTACATTAAAAAAAACTGACTCAAATAAAATTGGTTTTCTCATTTATTTTACAAGAAATAACATGCTGACAGTGAATCTAATCATTTTTTAAACTGGTTAAAGTAATGTTTACAATTGTCTTAAAATGCTCAAATACAAGTTTATTTCATACACAAATACCTTAAATGTATAGACTAAATGTACTTATAGATTCAATATATAGATTAACCCCTTATAAATAGTAAAAACCATTTCTTAAACCTGATTTTCTTGCCTATTCTCTCATGCATTACCTAATTTGAGTATTCTCAAATTATTGATTACATGAACAAACAAATTTAAGACAAAACCACAATATATGCTGAATGCCCTGAAATGAAATGGTTACATATGTAAGATGTGTAACACATCATGTACAACTTTTAAGTCTACAAAATTTTAAGTTAACCATATTATACAATAAGACTACTTTTTTCAAAGTTATGAGAAATTCTCCACAAAAAAAAATGTATTTATGCAAAAGATAAATGTTAGGGTACAATTTTAAAATACATTTTACATGATTCACATAAAGAACATATCATATCATTTCTTTGTGGTTGTTTTCCATTGGAACATCTGTGAACAAACACTCTGTTTTGTCTTTGTTTTGTCTTTTTGATACATAAAAAGCGTCCAAAATCATTTGGAATAGTTATGTACTGTTAAACCCTGATACTCAGAATTTTAAGAGTTTCTGATGTGTGCCCTACTTAGGAATGATTACAATGTAACAAAGATGAAACTCATAATTGATTTAATCAGCAATTATAAAGTCATCAGGTTTACACATGCTTTTCTAACACATCATGTACATTTTTTTTCTACTAGTATGTTTTTTTTCACAAAAAATTGAAATCAACAGTACTTAGCATTCCATATAAAGAAATATAAACCCTAGCTATTAAAAATCTAAAAATATATTTGTGCATCAATGCATTATAACAAAACAATCTCTTTCATTCCATATTAAAAATTATGTTTAACAAAACAATCTCTTTCACTGTGATGAAAATTGTCTTCTTCATATAACATGCAGATGAAGAACTTCTTTGGATGATGTCATTTTCACATGTAGAAAAGAAACTAATTCAACTAAAACTAAAAGACAGTCATTAAAATTTTAAGGACATTAAAGGATGATATCAAGACAGAAGTCCAGGAATTGATAAAATTCTACAATTATCATCCAAAGATGTATATGTTTGGATTTATTTTTTAATTCACAAGCAAATGATATGCTGCCATTTAATCTTTCAAACTTAAAAAAAAAATTCTATACTTTTGAATTAAAAATTTCAAAATCTAGAGGAGTCTTCCCAATACCTATCTACATGTATTTATGACTGAAGGTATGTAAATCACCAGAGTTGCTGTACTGCACCATTTGAATAAAAGTCATATCCACAGTCTTGACTTTTTTCCCTAAACCTTATTTCAAAACATATATGATTCCAACCAGTCTTTATCTATGCAGTGAAATGATTTTTACAGAATTCTAAGGTATTACATAGTAATAGTCTTTAAACATCTTTGAACATAGTGCATATGATTTACATTTCAATTCTTTCCAAAGAATATGCCATGCCACCCAATAGAGCTAATAAAAAGTCTCTAGGTTATCACAAAATGTTAAAGTTACAACAACTAAATTTTACCCAGGAGAAAATGATCCAAAAATCTATAGAAAATCTCCGAATCTTTCTTTACTTATGATGTGAATTTTGCAGGATACAAATTATTGTCAAAGGTAGTTATCTCAATAATCTCATGCTTTGACCCTGACAAAGTGTCCTATAAAACTAAGTGTATTACTCTAACCTGTTCTGTGTAGTAAGCATGAAGTCTAATGGTTGATAAAAATATTCAAGATATTATTACATCACAGATTATGGGACACTTGCATCTTTATGGTGGGTCTTATTGAGACGTATTAAATTCAAAATAGGATAAACACATTCTAAATAAAATGTATTTACAGTTCCAGGAAAGTAATAAATACATCAAAGCTAGCTTCTGAATATCTGTGTATTTTCTAGGGGTGTTGTAGATATAAGATGAAAAATTAAGGATTCAATGTATAAAAGTCATACATAACAACTGTATTCAATTTGTACTACATAAATTAAAAGTTATATTTAGATACTTTGAAATCTGTGAGAATTATTTTTTTGAAGATCTCATACTATCAGAAAAACACATTTTCAATACTTTGATTTGATTAAACTTCAGTCTGTTAAATGACTACAATTTATCTATTGTTTTGTATGCCAGCATATGAAGGATATGAATGGGAGAGGATCTAGAAAAATGCACAATCCTGGGTCCTTTCTCTCTTATCCTGTGAACCACAATTCATGATCATCATGATTGACTTAGTTTGGAATCATATTTATTCATGTGCTTCTTGAGTCCTCCATCCATCTCTGGTTTTATATTCTTGTATCAGTGTTCCAAGAGAGTATATTCTGTTAGTCTGTGCATAATTTACTGAGTTCCCCATTGAGAATCCTTGAAAGGAAAAAAAATTATTAGTTGAAAAATTGATATGCAATATAAGCTTAATAGAATTTTAAACATAGACAAAAAGGGATATAAAAACAAGGTGTAACATCAGATTTTGACTTTTCAAAACTATGGGTAGTAACAGCTTTTAAAAGAAAAGAGTAAAGGAATGAGTAAAATTCAGTTTGGAGAGAGAATTCTTTCAGAGAAAGATGTAGACAGAGGTTTACCAGTTAAAATAAAAAAGATGGCACTATTGAGATCATTTCTCATGAAGAATATAACCAATTATGTCTAGAAAAGGGTGATCCTAATGTTGTCAGAGATTACATAGAAAGACCCTTGATTGTAGAAGAAGTCAATGAAGAATATAACCATTTATTACCAAAAGAGGGTAAAAATTACTTGGTTTACCCTGAAAGACCTTTGACTAGAGAAGAAGTCAAGTTAAAGATGATAAGAGAAAACAGTTGTCAGAAAAAAAGATATGTTAAAGACACATGATTTTTAGCCCACAAAACCATTGGAGATACAAGGATTACAAGATACAAGGATTAATGGAGGAAGTCCAAACTGAACTCTTGGAAGACATTAAGGCTCATTATGAGAGTAACTTTCCAGTGTTTGTTTATTACAAAATTATGTTCTGATAAAAAAAAAAAAGTTTTCACTTTCATTTGTTGTGCCTTTGACCATTTAAATTGACCTTATGGTCAAGATTGTGATATATACACTCTGATAATCATCTATGATGTCTCTATGATGTTTACCTCAAAAGATTGAAACAGGGTATTTGTGTTCAAAACTGAAGAAATATACAACAGATCTAAGATGTTGGAAGCATACATAAATGAGGTTAAAGGAGATATAACACTAGATTATTAAAAAGAAAGAACACAAACTCATAGAAATGATATTGAAAGTACCTTTTATGAATAAAGTGTCATGCTCCAAGGTATATTTTTATAAACAGGTTAAGGTCCACAGCAGTCCCCATGCACTCATAAGAAGATCCTGGATGGTAGAAACACCAGGAAATTTTAATGCCATGCAATCAGATCATCTTACATCAGCTATAAAGGTTACAATCTTTAGACATAGTCAAGAGGGTCATTAAGATTTTTCACTGGCTCATCCTAATGAGCCACATTATAGTATTCTTTCTCTTTGATAGAATGATAATATTAAATGGAAAATTTAGAATTCATCAGCATTTGGAAGAAAACTTCCTATCTTTACCAATTATGCTATTAAGGAAGCTGGGGGTTAACAAATTAGCCATATTTAACTTATTCTATAAATATGCTATCTTCAGCTGTTAACTATCATTTGGCAAAGAAAAATTTCATACATTTTAGTTTTAAAAATTTGATCATGAATTTTTATGCCTTTTCTTCTTCTTCTAAAGGAGATCAATAGAGTTTAAACATGACCATGACCACCAAGCCCTCTTTATTTCAAAAAAAGGTCATATCATTTACTTATCAATTCAATTAATTTGAAAATATAAAAATGCATATGTATAAATAAATAAATAAATAAATAAAAATTACAATTGTATCTTATTGAAACTTTACCTTCAAGTTTGTGTGTTTCTATGTTGATTGACTAACTGTGTATTTCCAAAGGAAGAGCAGACAGGCTGAACTTCATAGAGAATGGATTATAGATGGTTAGGAACAAAACATATCTTCCATGTTGATGACTGTAGAAATAAAACCATTTTGTTAATATGACAGAGTACTGCATGAAACAATGCATGTTTAAATACAACATGTACAATGCCAAAAAAGATCATGAAAATATTTGTTTTTAATCTCAAAAAAATTGTTTTTAACATTAACTCCAGATGAGAAAAGTTCATCATGTTATCTATAGATAATAAACAAGCACAACTGCTGTATTAATATCATAAATAAAATGATTATCAGATTAATTATTTAGACACTAAAAAACTTACTATCTTTATTTATTACAAAATTATGTATTCTGATAAAAAAAAAAAAAAAGAAAAGAAATGTTTTCACTTTCATTTGTTGTGCCTTTGACCATTTAAATTGACCTTATGGTCAAGATTGTGATATATACACTCTGATAATCATCTATGATGCCTCTATGATGTTTACCTCAAAAGATTGAATCAGGGTATTTGTGTTCAAAGAGCTGAAGAAACTATACAGACAGATCTAAGATGTTGGAAGCATACATATTAATGAGGTTAAAGGAGATATAACACTAGATTATTAAAAAGAAAGAACACAAACTCATAGAAATGATATTGAAAGTACCTTTTATGAATAAAGTGTCATGCTCCAAGGTATATTTTTATAAACAGGTTAAGGTCCACAGCAGTCCCCATGCACTCATAAGAAGATCCTGGAAAGTAGAAACACCAGGAAATTTTAATGCCATGCAATCAGATCATCTTACATCAGTTATAAAGGTTACAGCCTTTAGACCTAGTCAAGAGGGTCATTAAGATTTTTCACTGTTGATCCCCAGGATCCACATTATAGTATTCTTTCCCTGTAAATATAATGTTAATATTAAATGAAAAAGTCAGAATTCATAAGCATTTGGAGAGAAAACTTGAAATCTTTACCAATTATGCTATTAAGGAAGCTGGGGGTTAACAAATTAGCCATATTTAACTTATTCTATAAATATGCTATCTTCAGCTGTTAACTATCATTTGGCAAAGAAAAATTTCATACATTTTAGTTTTAAAAATTTGATCATGAATTTTTATGCCTTTTCTTCTTCTTCTAAAGGATATCAATAGAGTTTAAAATGACCATGACCACCAAGCCCTCTTTATTTTAAAAAAATCATATATCATTTACTTATCAATTCAAAATTTGAAAATATAAAAATGCAATAAAAATTATTGAAACTTTACCTTCAAGTTTGCGTGTTTCTATGTTGGTTGACTGACTGTGTATTTCCAAAGGAAGAGCAGACAGGCTTGAACTTCATAGAGAATGGATTAGAGATGTTAGGAACAAACCATATCTTCCATGTTGATGACTGTAGAAATAAAACCATTTTGTTAATATGACAGAGTACTGCATGAAACAATGCATGTTTAAATACAACATGTACAATGCCAAAAAATCATGAAAATATTTGTTTTTTATCTCAAAAAATTGTTTTTACCATTAACTCCAGATGAGAAAAGTTCATCATGTTATCTATAGATAATAAACAAGCACAACTACTGTATTAATATCATAAATAAAATGATTATCAGATTAATTATTTAGACACTAAAAAACTTACTATCTTTATGATATTGATTTCCATTATCAGATGTTTTTTATCCATTTTTTTTATCCATTTTAAAATATAAACATTTAAATAAAACAGAATTAAATAAATTAAAATGATATCTCATTGAAACTTTACCTTCAAGTTTGATTGTTTCTATGTTGGTTGACTAACTATGTATTTCCAAAGGAATTTGGGCAGACAGGCTGAACTTCATAGAGAATGGATTATAGATGGTTAGGAATAAAACATATCTTCCAGGTTGAGGACTGTAGAAAATATAATCATTTTGTTAATATGACAAGGAACTGCATGAAACATTGCATGTTTAAATACAGTGACAAAAAGTTCATGAAAATAGTTCATCATGTTATCTTTAGATAACAAAAGAAGCACAGTTACTGTATTAATATCACAAATACAAAATGATTATCAGTGTAATTTTTAGACACTAACAGACTTTCTCTTAACAGCATATTCAATTTTGTTTAATACCTGTCAGTACAGCATACAAAAAGATATTAGCATATACAACATGTAGTCCTACATTTTTTGAAAAGCTCATTACCAAGAAACAAAAGTGAAAATGAAAATATATGTATGCCATATATACCACATATTTAGAATCAAAACAAGGATAAACCTTTTGTAGATTCTTACTTTTTCTTTTATTACATTCCTTATAGATCACAATTTAGTAAGTCTGAATTCCATGGGTAACAGACATAATGAATTATGACATTATATCATAATTTATGCAAAAGGACTTATTAACAATATGAAGTTTCCTTAGTATATTTTAGACAAAATAAGACTGTGCTTATATGAATGTTAGAGATATTAGATCACATAAGAATTACACAGTAATTAAATTAAACCATATAATCATGGTTAAATGCAAAGATGACCTTCATAGGAAATGTAAACAAAACAAAGACAAACTTACCAGAATTATCCAATTATATGCCCAATTAAATAATCCAGTGAAACAACATCTTAGCTGATCCTGAAAAAAAAAGCATACAATATTCAGTGATACACAAATTAACCTCATTTTACAAAGGAAGTAAAGCAACAATTGACAGACAAACAGGACAGAAATGTAAAAGATACCATATGTATTTTACCAAAATTTAGTAAACATTTTTTCTGATTTAAATTCAATCACAGAATGACCCATCATAGTAATATTAAATACACTCTGGGTTACATGCAAATTATACCTTACATGAACTGAGAATAAATACCCCATTTACATTCATATAAACTGAATTTTACATAACTAATTACTCTTTTAACTGATGTCACCATTAGTATCAGAATCAGATGTACAAATCATACATATTCACTTTTAAAGTACTCAATATATATTTTAATTTACATGTTGATGTTTGAAATCACTGACTAAATAAAATACATACATGTATATACATGAAGGTTTAAAAAAAAAGGGGGGGGGGCACACATGTTTATAGATTTACAGAGATGCTCAGACTGAGTTTTTCCCACTTTCATTGGGCCACTGTTGCACCAGAATGTAAAAATATGAGTGACAAATAAGGCAAAAGATTCTGTATATTTCATTAAAAAAGATTTGAGACAAAAGATTCATTGGCATAATATGATCTGATTGATTATCTCCATATCCTTCTTTTGGTCACTGTGATTAAAGATTCATAGAAATATTAGAAATAACAACTGAGAATATCACTTTAGTTGTTTTAAAAGCATGTATCAGTATTTTATAAGATATGCTAGGAGTCTCCTCATAAGAATATTTAGAATACTGATCCAATAAAAGGAATGTGAGACAATATGATCATAACTCATGCAAAAAAAAAGATTTATCAACATTTTGAGGATCTTTTAGTGTCCTAGTGTATTTCAGGGTAAACAATGGCAGTGTTTATATGAATGTTCTAAACATAAGGTATATAACACAGTAATAATGAATAAATACAAAGATGACCTTCATAGAAAATGTATAAAGAAAAGTTTGTTAAAACTTACCATGTAACCAGGTAACTCAGTAGAGTAATATTCATTAAATAATCCAGTGAAATAACATCTAGGCTGATCCAGGATTCAGCTGTTCAGAACTTTCTTGGAAGAAAAACGGTAGAAAATCAGTTTTGGTACTGAAATCCATAGGACCATACTGTTATTACATGAAGTCTCAAGCGCTGTGAAAGTCTGTGTTATTGTGTCAAAATAAGCAGCCATCGCGGCTTGTGAAGGACTAACATGACGTCGCTGCCAAGTTTATGACGTCACAATGCATAGGTAAGCTCGCTGACTAGATAGTTTACAGAAAGATAAGTCCAACCTATTTTTGCAAGATGATGCAACAGGTATAATAAGATGATGCAATAGATATAAAAAGATGATGCAACAAGTATAAAAAGATGATGCAACAGATATAAAAAGATGATGCAACAGGATTGCAACATATGTACTGAATTGACCCACTTATCCCCTCCAGGGGCTGCACTCCTTGACCCACCTATCCCCCCAGGGCTGCACCCTTGACCCACCTATCCCCACAGGGGCTGCACTCTGTTGACCAACCTATCCCCCAGCCCCAAAAGTGCATCCCCCTCTCCCTGAAACCCACCATCACTGGCCATAATGTACTACCCTTGCCCCGTCTGGGACTAAGAATGCCAAGCACCCTTGCCTCACTAAAAATTTGAGCCTAGTTACGGCCTTGAATGCATCGTATGAATAGAATTTTTGATGTATTAATAGCACAGTTCTTTTCAATTATATATATGTATATACTGGAGGACACGCAGTCTCATATGTAACGATAAATCTCTTTGAAATTCTTTTTATTTTAATAAGGATTTAATAAGTAATTATCAGATTAGTTCATCTGAGCTGAAGGCTAAAAAAAGCTTGCTTGATTACTTGTTGTCCGTTTATTTTGCTGTCCGTCCATCTGTATACCTTTTCAAGTTTTTAACTTCTCATTTTAACATGTTTAAGAAAATAGGTGCTTGGGTCAAGCTATTCTTGCAAAAAAGAATTTTCGGTGCGCAGTGATAATTTTTAGTTTTTTTTTTTTTGGTAAACCGTTCTGCTTCATATACACTAGAATGTCACGGAAATTTGATTTCATGCACGTTTTAAAAATGCTGTTGTAAGGATTAACAATAAGTACTGAATACTGAAAAAAAACAGTGGAATATCAAAATCAAAAATTTCCTCGACAATACATTACATAGAAAATATTCAGAATCCTTGAACCAAGCGCCTTTGCTGAAGAACCCCAGTGTCGATTTAAGGTTTGTCCAAAGCATCCATGAGTGAAGAGTGTTTTAATTGTTAAAAAAATCACCCCTTATTAATAAGAGGAATAAAATCAGGAAGAGACTAAAATAGGCTAGGGTAAGAATAAAACAATCTTCTTAAAAGTAAAGTGGCAAGAAAAAAATTAAAATTTTATTGTACATGTTTATGGAAGCTTTCGGAGGTAGTGTAAGTTATAAATTGTTTAAATCAAGCTCTTGGGTAGAGTGGGTTCATAGTAGGAATCTAAATACTATGAAGCAGGTTTTTTTTTTTACATTTCAATATACGGAAAAATTCTATTAATTAAATATTAGTTTCTCAAGAATCGCTGTAAGAAAAACAAGAGGTACTGTGAGCACTGAGCTCACTTAATTATAACTCTCCCTCTCATATGATTATAATGGTAAAGTCCATGTTTTGCTCCGGGAGGCCTTAATTTAGTGTCAGATCAGAAAGTAAAAGTAAAAAAGAGGTCACAATGGCATTATGTAATTAAGATAATATGAAAGTATCATAAAATTTTATTCAAAATCAACAGCTTAAAAACTAACGACTTTTCAACTTTATAAACAACCATTCCCCACAATGAATTAAAGTCGAGGCTTTTCGATATCATTTACAGCTGCTTTTTCAATAAAAATGGAACTCGTAAATTTATTTACCTCGTCATTGGTCATTTGCCAAATTATTTTAATAAAAACATTCTGATTGTACATGTGCACACGATTACTCTGAAGACGAAGTAAAAAAGGTTCACTAAAATTCTCTGTCTGAAATTTTACGACATAAGATTATTTCAGACAGAAAATTTAAGTGAATTTTCTCCTTAATTAGCCTTGATATGAATTTTGTTACCTACCGGTAATTATACCCCCCGCAAACGAAGTTTGGGGGGGTATATAGGAATCACCTTGTCCGTCTGTCTAGCTGTCCGTCCGTCTGTCCGTCCGTCCGTCTGTCTGTGCAATCGTGTCCGGTCCATATCTTTCTTACAAAGGGACATTAGAATCTACTACTCCATACAAAGATTGCCCATGACCTAAGGGTGTGTCATGACCTTGACTTAAGGTCATTTGGGGAACTTCAAGGTCACTGGAAGAAAAATTTCATAATTCGTGTCTGGTCCATATCTTTCTTATGGATAAACTTGGTAGGTTCTCATTTCACAAAAAGATTGCTAATGGACCAAGGGTGTGTCATGACCTTGACCCAAGGTCATTTGGAGAAGTTCAAGGTCACTGGAAAAAAAAATTCATAATTCGTGTCCGGTCCATATCTTTCTTATGGATAAACTTGATAGGTTCTCATTTTACACAAAGATTGCTTATGACCTTGACCCAAGGTCATTTTGAGAAGTTCAAGGTCACTGGAAATAAAATTCATAATTTGTGTCTGGTCCATACCTTTCTTATGGATAAACTTGGTAAGTTTTCATTTCACACAAAGATTGCCCATGACCCAAGGGTGTGTCATGACCATGACCCAAGGTCAATTGGAGAAGTTCAAGGTCACTGGAAAAAAAAATTCATAATTCGTGTCCGGTCCATATCTTTCTTATGGATAAACTTGGTAGGTTCTCATTTTACACAAAGATTGCTTATGACCCAAGGGTGTGTCATGACCTTGACCCAAGGTCATTTGGGGAAGTTCAAGGTCACTGGAAGAAAAATTTCATAATTCATGTTTCATACATATCTTTACTAAGGAAAAACTTACTTCTGAAAAACCCAGCGGGGGTATTTTGTCCCGTTTGGACAGTTTTAGTTAATCCTAGACGCTGTTGTTTTATTTCTTTTCTGTTTAGATGTACATAAAACAGATCTCCTTTAAGACATCTGTTTTTTTACAAGTATCTTAGTTTCATATCACACGAAAAATTTTAATGTTTTTCCCGATAAAACTGTCAGATTAGTGATAAAAAGGTTGAATATAATTTGTGAACAAAAAATTGATAAATAAACCGACCAATATGACAATATTTGGTCAGAGAGTTGGCCGCTGTCGACCCTCATTTGCATACATAGCTTGTACACAGTTTACTCAAATATATTAATTTTGCGTACGTTTTGTAGCTCAAAAATGTTAAATAGATGTTTTTTTAATAATCCACAGCAATTTATTTTTATATTTATGCAGTAAGTATTTTGATAGCCCAGTTACCTATGAAAGAACTGCGACCGATGGTACTGTTCTCCCGCCTACCTCCAAGTCAATTTTCAAAAGATACGAGATTCGAATGATCTTTTAATGTATATATTGATCATCCCCCTCCCGTGAAACGAAAATGCCTTTTTACGAGTTATTTAGACTGTCATTTCACAAATTCATACGAAAGCTTTATGTGTTTCATGGAGGAGTGGGGCATATGTTTATAGACAAAAAAAAAAAAAAAAAAAAAAACCAAAAAAAAAAAAAACAACCCAAAAACCAAAAACGACAAAAATGCTTATTTTTCAGCAACTCTGAAGTGCATAACAACCGAACATTGTATTTTACTAATATATAATTATGTTTAACTTCATATGCATTAAACAGAAGAAAAGATTTAAGAAACATTTATTCAAATCAAAGACGATTTCAGAATATTGTTATGCTTTTTAAGGATAAAAGTACACACTTATTCCATTTTCTGGAAAATCTAACAGGAGTATAAGGAGAGTGTTAATTTCAGTGGGAAAACAGATTATGCTTTTTAAGGATAAAAGTACACACTTATTCCATTTTCCGGAAAATCTAACAGGAGTATAAGGAGGGTGTTAATTTCAATGGGAAAAAAGATTTTCTCACTGAAATTAACACTTTCCTTATACTCCTATACAAAATGTACATTCCCTTGTTTGTTCAGATGAACTCCATCATCATGTATAAATTTCCGACTACAATCCCCTACACGGGTAAAAAAATAATCCACAGGTTAAATACACAATAACTTAGTGATGGCAATACACCTCTTAATATTTACTGTCTGCTACATCAGTGTCCAAAAACTAACATTTAATCTTGGCAATAATATGCAAACAATTATTTTTTGCAACAATATAGCGGCGATACATTACCAAAACCCTAGTTTCAATTACTGCGGCCAAAAACGTACGTAGGATCTGTACTAGAATCATAATGTTCTCCCCAATCATTAAAGCAACTACCTCGGGACCAAAAGCAAACACACTCTCCATATCCTTAGATATCATGTTACTAGCATTCTTTACACACACACTCCTGTATCAATCGGAATACATTTTTCAATCACAATGGTTTTCAGAATATCTTATGTCACCATATTTCAAGAATTCATGACAACGACGCACAATTGATTGAGCAAGAATGACAACAAAATATTCGCCCATTAAGACAAGATATAAAAAAAAATTACAATCATTAAATACTTCATTAAATAAATAACAAATTTGAAAACGACCGTCTTCCAAGGTTGTAGGTGGGAGAAGAGGCAGAGTGACGAACCGGAATTTAATTTATTAGATTTTGATTGGTCAATATCTGCCTCTCCTAAGACATGAAACAAAATGTCCATTATAATACATCGCTATATAATATTTCACACTTTGACATTCAAGGAGGACACTTATTGTTTACAAAAAAAAAATTACAATCATTAAATACTTCATTAAATAAATAACAAATTTGAAAACGACCGTCTTCCAAGGTTGTAGGTGGGAGAAGAGGCAGAGTGACGAACCGGAATTTAATTTATTAGATTTTGATTGGTCAATATCTGCCTCTCCTAAGACATGAAACAAAATGTCCATTATAATACATCGCTATATAATATTTCACACTTTGACATTCAAGGAGGACACTTATTGTTTACAAAAAAAAAAAAAAAGTTAACTTATTTATTTACGCTCGCCGGACCCGCACGCTTGTATTTATACAAAACTATGCAAATAATATCAATTTAGCATCTGCTGTAGATTCGTGGAGAAAGAAATTGATTTGGGTTCGAATCCCAGTGTGGGACGTGCATAGAGACCGGTGCTTCGGATGACACCGAGGTCCCG